CCTTCCCCCTCCCCAGTCCCTCTCCCCACCATTGTCCATGTCCTTGGGTTGTGTATATATGCACATAAATTCTTTGGTTACTCTCTCCCCCTCCACCCACCCACCCTCCTCCATCCCTCTGACATTCATCAGTCTCATCTATGCTTCCATGTCATTGAATCTATTCTGTTCATCAGTTTATTAAGTTCTTTAGATTCCACGTATAAGCGAGATCATGTGATGTTTGTCTTTCCCTGCCTGGCTTATTTCACTTAGCATAATATTCTCCAGGTCCGTCCATACTGTTCCAAAGGGTACAAGATTTTTTTTCTTTGCAGCTGCGTAGTATCCCATGGTGTAAATGTGCCACAGCTTTTTATCCACTCATCTACTGATGGGCACTTGGGCTGTTTCCAGATCTTAGCTGTTGTAAATTGTGCTGCTATGAACATCGGGGTACACATATCCTTTCTGATGAATGTTTCAGGATTCTTAGGATACATTCCTAGGAGTGGAATCCCTGGGTCAAACGGCAGCTCCGTTTTTAATTTTTTGAGGAACCTCCATACTGTTTTCCATAGTGGCTGCCCCAGTCTGCATTCCCACCAGCAGTGTACTAGGGTTCCCCTTTCTCCACACCCTCGCCAGCACATGTAGTTTGTTGATTTGTTGATGGCAGTCATTCTGACCGGTATGAAGTGATACCTCATTGTGGTTTTAATTTGCATCTCTCTGATGATTAGCAACCTAGGTTGCCTCTTAAGCAGACTTTTTCAAATTATAGGTCATAACCTATTAGTGAATCCTAAAATCAACTTAGTGAGTCAGAATCAGCTTTTTTCTCTTCCTTTTTTTAATGAAGGAAAATGGAATAGACTAGAATTTTAAAAATCAGAGTACATTGCACATAATTATAGCTTTTCCATTTGAATTATTTCATAAATGTTTGCTTCAATTAAATATCTCATGGTTAGTAACAATTTCCATGTAGTCACACATCTTGACTACACTGGGTCATGATGTGAAATGGACTTCTTACTCTGGGCTCTAGTTGAAGACAATTTTAAAAACACTGCTCTAAAGTAACCTAACAGAAAAAGAGAATGTATGGAATTTGCACCTTTTAAAACGTAAACCTGGCCTGCTGAGAACTAGTCTGCTTTATGTTTTTACCTTGCAACCAAGAGAACTAATTCTGTTCTTGCTAAGACTGAACAAATAAAGTGTTACATTCAGCGATGAATAGAACATTATTCCAATTAACTGAATCCAACATAATTTTAAAAGAAATGCAACCATGGCCTAGAAGCAAAAGGAATAGAGAAACCATTCTAACATATTTAAGTATTTCTACCTGTAAGTAATATTGGCCTTCTACTGTGTGCAGTCCATCAAAAGCTCCTAAGGCATACACCTCATCTCTTCGCTTCTCAGACATCTCGTAAGTTAAGTGACAACACAGGTCTTTCTGGCAAACTGTGTAATTTCCTGCATTTCTCTTAAGCTCGGTGAAGGTGAACTCATCAAAATAAATCATCCCTGGAAAATCCAACTGCTCCGATGAGAATGGCTCGATACCTTTGGCATAAGCACTCCAGTCAACAGGTGCTGGGTAGGTGGGCTCACTTCGAGGCCGAGACTTCAATTCGGAGAGCATCAGCTGGCCACTCTCCGTTTCCATGTCATAGTAATACACCTTGACCGCTTCTGGGGCATAGATTCCACTCCCTGTGGGCGACATAAAGAAACACGATATTTGTGTTCAAATTTTGCATAGTGATAGACTAATAGAATCATTCCCATGAGAAATTAAATATAGAGTTATGAAACCAAAAGGATTTTCAAGTTAGGCAAGAAGATAGCTGATACATGGACATAAGTTCCCATTTGACTCTGTGACTCAGCTTGCACTGAAATTGTCATTTGACTAGGATGACTTTTTTTTTTTTTAGCCACTCTAAGAATAAACTAGAGCCTGGCCGACGTGGCTCAGCAGTTGAGCGTCTAGGAGATAGAGGTTCGATTCCCGGTCAGGGCACATGCTGGGGTTGTGGGCTCGATCCCCAGTCGGGGGCCTGCAGGAGGCAGCCAATCAATGACTCTCTCATTGTGGATGTTTCTCTCTCTCTCTCCCCTTTCCTCTCTCTGAAATCAATAAAGACATATTTTTTAAAAATAGAATAAAATAAATAAACTAGAAAATTCCCCAAATATGAAGAATAAGTTTAGCTCTCCAGTGACCTAATTTACTTGTTTGAGATTCTTTATCTGGATCAATGGGTAACAAAGCAGTCAAGAGGGGAGCTGGCATTACCTTGAGCACAGATACTATACGGTGGGGCAAAAGTAGGTTTACAGTTTGAGTACTGGAAACAGAGTATATTCTTATATTATTATTTATTAATTATGGTATTATTTTCCATGTGAACAACTATAAACCCACTTTTGCCCCACCCTGTATAAAGGATAAACTCTAAAAACCTGATCAAGTCTACAGTGATTTTTTTTCACCTCAACAAGATTTATTTCAATATCACTAACGGACATCGACTGCAAAATTCTTTAGTCTGGCTTTGGTTTTTTGTGTGACTTGACTTCTCTAACTCCAACTTCCCCTCATGTGAAATGGAGATAATAATGTTTGCACCCTTCTTCACTTACAGAGGTAACGTTCCACTTAAGGAATGTTGGTGTAGAAAGCCATGCAATTATTAATTTTGTGACATTAGAGTTAATAAAACAATCATTAAAGAAAAGTGTGGCTTGCAAATCAATGAAGACTTCCTGAAACCGTCACTGCCACTTGGCGCACAATAGGTGTGAGTTACCTGTCATATGCATGCTGGTGTTGTGGGTGTTTGCTGCGAGCAGGTTGACGCCCATGGCTCTGGCCCATGCCGAATGGAAAGGGACAGCTGAGAGGAGGGGCAGCGTGTTGTGCCACGCCGCGGGGTACAGGACACTGTCCACTTGAAGCTTATCCACCACCACCACAGCCGGGGCGTGCGAAAAAATGTCAAAGCAGGTGAAAACGCCAAACTTCCCGAAGGGAGTGTCAAAAGTCACAAATTCAGAATCCTTGGGAAAATCAAATTGAATTTCAGGGGCAAAAAGATTGTACTGTTAACAATAAGCAAAGAAGGAGAGAAAATTAGTAAGAAAACTGCCAAATAGAATTGATCAATACCCATAAAGTCTTCCTCCCATGCATGCTGGTGTACATATTTAAAGCTGTTACACATAGGTATGTGTAAATCATACCAAGTAAACCACTGTCTATGAGTTTTCTTACTGTGACATTAATCAAAAACCCGTTTTCCTGCAACCAACACATCAACCAATGAGATTGTATCTATAAATGATGTTGAAAAGGTGAATATTTCAGTTGAATTTTGAACCTGGCAAAGTTCAGACTGTTTTCTACTGTATTCCTTAAATACCAATAGCATTGCCCATGCAAAGTCTGACACATGTTAATAAAAATTAACTTTGTGATGCCTCCCTATGATACTGCCAGGTTTATATAAGTGAAGTAGATTTAAAATTAATTTAGACAATGTAACAGCTAAACCTTGTTAGTTAGTAAGCCATTAATTTTTTTTTTTTTCCAGCCTGATTATTGCTTCAAAACCCCACTTCTCCTGGGCTCAAGGGTGCAGCATATGTTTTGCCCAGGTTTTCATTTGGCCTGATTGTGCACGTGTGTTCTCTCAGTGAGGATCCTGCACTCCTCCACCCTCCCTCACGTGGGAGCCCATCCTTCATCTTGCAGGGATCTACTCAAGGAAGACGTGAGGCCTAACTGGAATCAAGGCATGACGAGGATTTTGCAGGGTTTCTCATGGGAGAAATACATCCTTCCTCTGGCTTTTGTTGCTACAAGGATGTGAGCTTCATGTTCAGTAGCCATGTGGCTTCTAAAAAGATGGTTAGCCTGAAAAAACCTGAAACTGTAACAAAGGACTAACAGATCTGGAGAGATGGATGACATCTTTTGAGCCTCTGAGGAATAGACTACATATGAAACTAGACCTACCCTTCTATGATTTCTATTTTTTTCAGGTACATAAGCAAGGAAATTTGGTTTCTTTTTTTAGGAGGGGCTAAACGAATTTCAGTTGGGATTTTCTATTATTGCAAATAAAAATTAAAGTTATAATCAATGAATGACTAAAGCTTAGTAGAAAATAGTATTTAATAGTATTAAAAACTTTGTGAAGCTAATTTAAACTCAGAACCCATATGTGAAACCAAAGTAAATTAAATCAACTAAAATGTAATAATTAAGAAATGTATTCATAGCAGTTCTCTCACCAGCGTTCAGCAGACAAGTATACATACATACCACAAACAAACAGCAGAAGTAAATCAAGTTTAGCCAAGACGCAAATAAGTCTCACCTTATGGTACCGGGCCACCAGCCTACCCTCAGAATCAAACACCACATCAGTGTTGTATTGGTAACGACCATCAGGGGGACACTTAGGGTCACTGGCATTGCATGGCTTCTTGTCCCCAATATTTGCCACGACGTAGATAGAATTGTCCTTGGCCAGGCAGCTGAGTCTTTCTTGCACTGGGGCATAGCCGAACCTAATTCAATAGACGTTGCTTTAAACTTACTATATTTTAGTGATTCCTGAACTTTCAAAGTGACTTTATTTGCCTGTTACCCATAACACAACAGCTCTAGGTTAAGAATCAACAGAAAAGATTTTAAAACTCACATGCAGTAGAATCTTCACCTTTATGAAAGCTAACCTATTTTATTGCGCCAGACTCTAGACTGCAGTGAGAGATGGATGCACAGAAGAGATGGTGCAGGGAGAAGAGAAAGAAAAGCACACTTTTTCTTAGTGCTCCCAGGAAGGCAAATGGAGGACTTGAAATTTAGGACTCTTCTAATGGACAGGACCTTTTCTATAGCCTAAGCTATAGTCTTACTAGGAGGCAGTAAATAGTTGGCCCTACATAAATCACCTTCAACAGAGAACAAATGCAGCATTATGTACTGGAAATATTTAAAAAAAGAAGGCAACGAGAGAGAAAAAACACACTTCACTATTCTGGCTCAGTTTCTTTATCTGTCAATACAATATAATAGCTTCCTTTCTACCTTTGAGGGCCCTTGTGAAAAACCCTGCGATAAATACAGACTATAAAATTGTGTTCAAAGTAATGCCAACTCCATTCACATCGGCATTAAACATCTAGGACATCTTAGCAATGAGAAGGGGTTGAGATGATGACATAGGCGGAATGATAGCTGACTTCAAGCTCTTGGAAGGCTCTAGTTTGAAGATGAGTCATGGATATTAACATACTACCGATGAGTCATGGATATTAACATACTGCCGATGAGTCATGGATATTAACATACTGCCGGGCAAAAAAAAACCAAAGAAAGTTTATAGAGAGACTTCAGCAGTAGATAAAAATATTTAGCAACCAGAGCATGCTGTCAAAGAAGTGGATTTACTAGTCACTGCAAATTTCAAGTATAATATGGTGCATTTAGGCCCTGAGAGGACACTCAGTTAGCATGGACAATGGAAAAGGCTGTGCTGAATTCCAGACACGATAATTACCAACTGTGAGACCTTAAGCCCCGTTTTATCATTTTAAAAATGAGAACAGTTATTCCTGCTACATAAATTGAATGAGATAATGTGCATAGTGTACCAGGTAAAGTTCCTGGGGCCAATTAGGTGCTCAATAAATAATGGCTATTACAGATTTTTTGAGTACAGAAGAAAACCCAGGAAATTTGAGACTTTATTACTTTAGAGGTCATTCAGGCTCTCTCCATGCTCTCAGCCCTTCTGCAATTAATGTTGAGCTAATCTTTAATAGAAAGAACAGATTTATGACTATTTTTAAGGATCATTTCTTTTATTTAAAAAAATAAGGCATATTGTCAACATTCATATTCATTAAGACCTTTAATAAAATTATTATATAACTTGTTTAATTTTTCTTTTCTTGGCTAAATAGTTAGAGTACTTCAATATTTCCTATTAGCTCCTCATGAGGAAAGTCCAAGGAAGCATGGCACATGAAGTATTTTAATTGATAGTATTTAAACATGAAAAATGACTGCATGGGCCTTCTATTATCCCTTTTAAGGCTATTACTAGGGAAGAAACAATAGCTTTTTTTTAAAACCAACATTGCCATTATATTAAATACTGTATTTCTCCTTTCTACAACTCAGAGCTGAAAACTTGTCATATCAATAAGTGTCTGCAAGACTTAAAAATGTTAAAGCTTCGTCAGTTACCTACCTTCTCAACTGAAAAATAATTTGTTAGATACTAACTAGGCTTCTAGACATCTTTCCCCTGGAAAAGTCAGTTTTACCAGCTCAGGCAAATAGGGTGTATTTTAGTGTAAGCCTCTTGAATGACTGTAAGTCATAAGTCTTTTGTGCTCTGGGAAAAGCCCTCAAATCAAGTCAACATTGAATCATGGTTACTGCCCTGTAAACCAGACCATGCAACACTCAGAGAATATTTTTCCAAAGGTGAAAATCCCAGGGCAAGACTTGACTCACATAGTAGAGCTCCCACATTGCAGCACTGGAGCATTCCAATCAATTTCAAATAGTCAAAATAATTTAAGTTCCTCTTTTTGTGCAATATCATTCTGGACAGATGCAGGTACATTTACAATTAGCAAATTGAATTACTTTTTAATGCATTGGTTTTGCCATTTAAAGGAATTATATATGAACTATTTTAAAAAGTAAATAATCTCTTTCATAAATCTTTCTTATGTTTTACACAATTTTAAAAGCAAGTTATGTCTAAACTATGGCTATAAATAATTACTAGAATTTCTCAAAGGACAAGAAAACAAAGAAGTTTAGATCAGTTCCTTCTGTTCAAAGGAGTAATAGTGACGTCTAACACTGGAGAGGGCACCACAGTGTACAGATCCTATGTGTATTTCTTCACTTCACACTCTTGTCTACTGTGTAAGGGAAGTATGAGAGGAAATTTTATTATCCCTGTTTTACAGATAAAGAAACAGAGATGTCTAGCACTTAGGTTATCTGCCCCACATCACTCAGCCAGAAGGCGGTAGAATGTGGTCTCAGAAAAAGCACTTCCTCTTTCAGGTAGTATGCAGTTTCCCCTCACCATACTGATTACATTGCAAGTGATAACAGTATCAAAGGTCTTTGAAAACATCGCCCATTCATCATCTTTTTACCATTCTTACAAAGGAGGCACATGTTCATGGGTGAACCAACTTAAATTTGGAAATGTAAGTCCTAGATATCGGACTTACTCACTTTGTTGAAACCCAGTTAAGCACATCTATTATAAAACCGGTCATGTACATACTATACAACTCATTAAAGAAAGCCACAGTAAATAACCAAGCAGTCATCATCATCTCAAGTCACTTACCAAACAGGAGATGTGCTAAATGCACACATTATGAAGCATGAGAGGGTTGAAGTCCAATGCCGTGGACTGATTATTTGTCATCAAGAATACTAGTTAAGCTTCCTGAATTTGCTATTGGTATTTTACAGTATCACAGTGTCCTGTTCAAAAATCAAAGAGTAATGACATTACCTCTGAGGGTCTTTACATGGAATCCAGTTTACTTCTGGGTGTGGGATATCCTCCAGATAGGGGTAAATGGTCTCCCTTGTGAAGACCCAGCCATAAATTCCGTCTTCTGGGGTCACAATGATATGAGCACCCTGCCCAAAACAAGTGGGAACAAAGACATTTCTCATCAATTCTGAACACTCACACTTCTTCAAGTTTCAAATTTCCTTTACAATACCCCAGCGAGTGTCAAGACAGCAATACCTGCCTGGCTGCCAGTTTAACTGCTTTTTCTAGAACATCTATATTCTTGTTCATCAGGAGCACAGCTTCTCCCTTTGAAACAGGTGCTTCTGTCCTGTTTGGTAATATAACAGCATGCTCATACACTGCAGCGGTAAAGGTGTCCAGCGCGCCAGCGCTCAGGACACAGAGAGCAAAAAGTGCCACAGATTTTGGAAAATACGATGTAATCATAGCTACGACTTAGTGCTCTTTGATAAACTCAGCTTAGCACTGGAAAAGCTTTTGTGTTAAAGCCCTGTCGGCTGCCAGCTATTTATATTTTCTCACGGATACATTATGCAATTGCACAGAACACATTGCACAGCATTGAGAAAGGGTATTGTGCAAGAAGCCCGGCAGCCAGGATGACACAAGTGGATTCACTCAAAGGTGCAGCGCTGTTGTTGACAGTGCTCAGAGGGCCACCCCGCTCTAAAGGAGGAACTGAGGGGCGAACCAGATGAGTCTGCCCCAGCCTAAAACTTTTCTCTTTTAGTAAAATATACTTACCTGGTAGTTCAGTGTTTCTATCAATAGGGCCAATATTGGGCCACTGTAGAAGGCCAGCATCCTAACAACCATACGTTGAGAACTTATGTACATAACTGTTACAGACACTGAGCAGAGTGCAAGGCAGGCCTCAGTTTTAACAGGGCTCACAAAATGGCAAAAGGAAGAACAGTTATATAATGCTAATGACTGGCCTCGCTTGCTCTTGATCAGTGGCCCTGAATTTTTGCATTACAAGAGGATATTAATAGAAACCACAGTTGCCAGTTTCTCTTGGAAAGACTGCCTAATAGTCTGAAATACTGGCATTTTATCTGAACACAATGTAAAATATAGATAGATTATAGCATGCTCAGTGATGGCAAGTGACCCCTGGGTCGATCTGATAGCTTAGACGGCTACTGGGGAGTGGGTGGGGAGTGGATACAGTGTGGATATGCTGGACAAAGGGATCATTAATGTCTCCAGGGGGAGAGAGTGGACAGCGTGAGATTTCATCATGTTACTCAGAACGGCATGCAATGTAAAACGTATGAATTGTTGCCCTGGCCGGTGTGGCTCAGTTGGTTGGAGCGTTGTCCCTTGCATCAAAGGGTCATGGGTCCCATTCTTGGTCAGGGCAGATACCCAGGTTGTGGATTCGATCCCTAGTCGGGGAGTGTGCAGGAGACAACTGATCGATGTTGCTCTCTCACATTGATGTTTCTCTCTCTCTGTCTCCCTCTCTCTCTAAAATAAAAAGAAAAAAAAAATTAAAAACAATATGAATTGTTTATTTGGGGAGTTTATCATTTAATATTTTGGGTTGCAGTTAATTGTGTGCAATTGAAACCCCAGAAAACAAAACTGTATATAAGGGGGGGACAACTGTATTCAAAACACTAATTCCCAGATGTGGTCCATGTTTCATGAGGGGTAAATAAGTTGATTTTGCAAGATATACAGATAAATACTTGCTATTTTAATAGTCACAGATTAACACTCATGTTTACTAGAAAATGTATAACTCATCAAACCCATGGATAATAGAATTCATAATATTCTTGATTTATTTATACAACTTGCCTATTGGGCATCTTTATTCAGTGATGTTGAACATTCCATGTGCTGCTCTACCTAGATGGTTATATGCCCATTTTCCCTGAAATGCCCTGCTCCCCATCAGTCTAGGTTCCAGCTCCTTGGAGAGCCCTCTCAAATCTACCCCAGTCCTGAGTGATATTTCTGAATTCTCATAGCACTTTCTTCTTGTCCTGGTGAATGTCTCTCACTGCTTGCTGTTGTCTTGACCCTTAATTTAAATCTTATACTGATATTTGGTTTTGAAGATATATGTTTTGTCTTCTTTTTTAAAATTAATTTTATTTTGTTTTCCCCCATCACTGTTTATCCCTCTATGCTCTCTTCCACCCCCGGCCACAATCACCACAGTGTGGTCCAGGTCCATTTTAAAAGAGATTAAAAGAAATCTTGCTGTATCATTCCCGGACATCCATGTAAAATACTCATCTAGGGATGACGCATGCCAGGGCGTGACCCCTGGAAGATAAGGAATCGTCTTGCTTATTCCTGAACCTTCTCACCCCAGTACCTGTGGGACAGGTGTGGGAGCCCAAGACTGAGTGAAGGTTGAGTGAAGGATCCAGCTACCTGAAAGTCCAGTCTATTCCGTGTTTGAATGTTGCAAATTCTTAGAACTTTTTTTTTGCACTGAGATGCAGTTTATTTTGTGTATCTTCTACAGGGTAAAATAATAACGCCAACCCTGCTTCCTGCTTCCAGACTATGAGATAGTTCAAAGAGAGCTCTAAATTCTCTCTTAATTCTTATAATTTCCATCCTCATAAATTCCTCGAGGACAAAGTCCACATTATGATACTGTGTTGCTCTTGTGCAATTTTGCACCATGCTAAGCTCTGACAACGTTTTCTGATATGTTAAACTCAATTTTCTGGCCTAGTTTTGGAATGAACCCCTTTGTTTGAATGTGAGTTTATTTAAAATGTAAAGCATTTCTTTCAAGGTTTAAATCTCTGATTCTAGAGTCATTATTACCCCCCACCCCCACTGTCTCTGTCTTTCACTTTCTAATCTTCTTCTGCTGTAAGGATACTGGTACGTTTTAGAGATTTATATCTTTTGTTTCTTTGTGTGGTTTGGCTCAATAATTCAAAACCCTCTGATTCCAATGACCTTTTCCAACTAAATATTGCTTCCTTCTCCCAGGCCTGCCAGTGAGTTTCCATGTGCCCTTCTGTCCTGAAATGATACCCATCAGAAGCAAATTCATTTCAGAAAAAATACCTGAGGACGACAAGATGGAAACTGTAAAGCAGATGGATTGCTTTTCCTATTTCAGGTTGAAATTCTCACTCTTGTCTTAATCACCTGCCTTTCTGAATAGAATAAAAAGGAAACATACAGGAATCCTCCCTATCCTCCCAGTCCCTAATTCCAGTAAATGTGTAGCAACCTTTTGTTATGTTGAAATCAGCAGAAATTTGGATTAACTATTTTATTACCAATGTGGTTACTAATGCCTTTGCCTCATATGTGTTTAAGAAATAGGGATTGTGAATGTTGTTTAAATTAGGTGTTTAAACAGAACTTGAAAGACAGTTTGAAATTATTGTGGGATTAGGAAGTTCAGAATCTAAGTTTTTTATTAAAATAAATACGGTTCTGCTTTACAATGTGTAAGGCACACATTTTAAAGAGAAGAGGGGCCACGAGAATAAAATCTCTGAGTTCAGTGGCCCTCCAAGTCTTTATTTCCAACATCCATCATAAAACCTCCTCTTCATTCCCATTATCAGGGTCCTGACTCAGTGGCCAAGAATGACTCCTACAGGCTCTCCATCAGCCTCTCTGACCTGCTCCTCCCACCCTAACCCTCAATCAACACTGTGAACCATTACATTCCCTTAAGCAAGTTCTCATGAAACAAAAAGCTTCCCATGTATATATCAAGTCAAATCAGATGCTGTGCGCCTTCTGCCACTTGGTTCCATTCTGTCCTTCCTCTTCTTAGCTAAGACCACTCTTCTTTTTATATTTGAATATGCTTACTCCTGCTCTGATCCTGGAATGATTCCTCCTGGAATGCCCCTCCAACTCAACCCCCCACCTCTCCAGTCCTGATTGCTGTTCTCCTCTCTGAGCTCCTAGAGCACTTGTGGTCAGTAGCCACACTATTGTTAGTTGGTTTTTGTTCCTTACTCTACTGTCTCCCCCCGCCCCAGAGAGGATCCCTTTCTATTACATACCTCCATCTATCTTCTAGGAACTGATAACTGCTGTGTCTCTACCTTTACTCAAGCGTCTCTCCTGAAATCCAGGCCTGTTTGCAACCAGACAGAGACTTCAACGGCTCTCGCCAGGCATCAGCCCACCTGCTAGCATCTACTCCTATTGACTCTTCTCCCCTCCTCTCGTTGGCGACTGCTCAGGACCCTCTAAGTCCATCCTCCGCTCTTGCACGCTGGGTCCCAAAGACATTGCTCTAGACATTCTTCTCTCCTAATTTTTACCATCAATTTGTTTTTGTCTATTAGGTTATTATCATCAGCATACAAATATCTTGTTCTATCTCCTACCTTAGAAAAACACACAACCCTCTCGATCTGGCATCTCCTTCCATTCCTCTGCTCCATTTTACAACAAAACTCCTTTACGACGCTGTGTATACTCTCTGCTTAATGCCTTTCCTCCAGTCAGGATTTTGACGCCATGATTTCACCACCTTGTAAAGATCACCAATGAGCTCCACACTATTATATCCACTGGTCAATTTTCAGTCTCATCTTACTTGACACGTTGAAAGCATTTGACACAGCCACTGCTACCTCATTCTTGGGGTGCTTTCTTCCCTCACAGTCTCTTAGTTTCCTTCTTTCTTGCCTGGTTTTGTATTTACTTTTGTGTGTCAGGGGAGCTCTTATCCCCTGGTTCCTTCTTATCATCCCTGACCTCAATTCTTTGAAATTTTTCCCTATCTATACTCACTCCCTCGGTGATTTCATCCATTTCATGGCTTTAAATACCGTCTCTATATTAGCGACTCACAGATTTATATCTCTATTCAGACTCTCTCCTGAACTCTAGACTCCTACTCCCAACAAGTCTGTTCAAAGTCCCTGCTTGGATATATAAAGGCACATCAAATCAGTGTAAACAAAACTGAACTTTTGACCTTCCCCTCCCAAAACTCCTGCAGACAGACTTTCAGGTCGAAGTTAATGTCTTCTTTAACCTTCCAGTTTTTTATGCCAAAGCACTTGGCATTATCCTTACTTCTATTTTTGTCTTTCAGTCTACGCACATTCAGTCAGGTGATCTTTCACCTGCAACTCAAGTCCAAGCCAGTGTCATTTCTGGCCTGGATTATTTCAATATCCTCATGCTTGGTTTTTGTACCACTACTTTTACTTTTGCACAACAGCAGTCAGGGTGATCCTATTTAAATGTAAAACTAATTGTGTCACTGCCACTTTCTTGTCATACCTGTAAGACCCACTGTGATCCAGCCTCCTGTTACTTCTAACATGAACCCTTGAGATCAAGGCTGTAAGTGGCCACAGAGCCTGTGTTCTCACAGAGGTGCACCCAAAGTTCATGGTTTCAGCTGCCCTCATGGAGTGAAGAACATGGCAGGTCAGAGAAAGCCAGACAATGGGACTGCTGCTTTTTTACTGATGGCTGGGTGAGAGGTCATGACAATGTGCCTGGGACTGTCACTGCACCACCCTTGAATGCTCCCACCTTTTGTTTATTACATCTTCAGCCTCACCCGAGATTTCAGTGCAATGGGCTGANACCACCCTTGAATGCTCCCACCTTTTGTTTATTACATCTTCAGCCTCACCTGAGATTTCAGTGCAATGGGCTGGGGGCATGCTCACCAAACTCAGCAACAGAATAAAGGATAACTAAATATTGTTTTATCCATTGTATCAGGCAAGATGCAACCAGAAAAACAGAATCCATGCTGGTTATTTTAAGAGAATTTAATATCAGGTTTTGGTTAAACAGGTGTATTTGTAAACAAAGGGAAGCAGAGGGTGTTAGGAGCTAGAAGCTTTCCAGAGGACCCTGTGGAGCTGAGGCTCAGACCTCTGAGGAGAAGGGACTCTCCAGCTGGTGCTGATGAATCCAATTCTCAGAGGAGAGCCCCACGTAGCTGAGACTCAAAACTCTTTAGGAAGCACTTGCTGGTGCTGGTATGTTTGAAAGAGAGAAATGAATCTGGTTCTGAGAGTATGAAAAAAGCTGAAAACTAGAACCAAGTGCTACTGAAACAAACTAGTGCTGTCAGGTACAATAACTGTTGATGGGACAACACTGATAGGTGAGAAACAGAAAGGAGTAAGCTTCTTCTCTCTTCTTCCAACCTTACATATTCCTCTAGTGCCCCCCTATTGGAGAATTTAACAGGGAGTCAGCTGGCAAAGAAGAAATATGTTTGCTTAGACCCAGCCCCAGAATCACAAAGAGTACAGAAGGGTGGATTAGCTTCTTAATAGCTTAATAACTGACACATTCAAGTAACTGGACACCATATAGCAGTGAAAATGCCTAAAATGGAGTGATGCTTATTTACATGGATTAAGCTTGCAATGTTGAATATAAAAATAAGAAATTTGCAGAATGTTGTGTATAATTCAATATCACATATATACAAAAAGAAGCAAAATAGTAATAAGTAGAGATATGTTCATATGTAATAAACTAGACATCATGGGAATGATCTAAAAGAATCTTAGGGTACTGATTTCCTCCAGTGGAAGAAAACAGGGAAAGGAGGTGAATGTCAGAGAGTGATACAAGAGACGCCGCTCCATTCATAACCTTTCAGTGCACAAACTGAGCAGTGGGTACATAGGTGACTGATATGCAATCCTTTATACGTATCTGTGCGTCAGAAACATTTTCATAATAAAGCTTTAAATAATTTGGAATATGCATTTTTTTGTTTTAAGTAAGTGGTGTTTCATAAGGAAACTCCATAGGGCTTTGCAATTTCTAAGCCATAGGCAGGCTGTTTCTTTGAGCCCACTGTGGCTTCCCTCCTCTCTTTTCCTTCTCATGGCATTGTCTTCTATGGAGGTACAGCCGCCCACTGTTTTTTTGGTTCTTGTACACAAGACTAGCAGAAGAGTTTGGGGCCTGTTAAATTATACCACAGCCTTTAGGTGAGACAGTTTGGGGCTATGAATGCCCTGAGCCAGGTCTCCTTTGATATGAACCTCTCAAAACAACTTTCATTGTGAAGATAAACTTCAACATTACCATTTGCTTGGAAAGCAAATTTCCCCCAATCATTAGCACAGAAAAGTAGGTGAATTCAAATTGTCTTTAATGTCAAATGGAATTTAGGCCAACTCTCAGTTTTCATCATTACTCTTCTCTTCAAAGTCCACAACTACGTTTATAATGACCCTGAATCTTTTCACTTTGCCTCTTAAGCACCCAGCACACACAAGGTCGCCCAGCAAATAAGGTTAGAGGTAAGGTCTGATCCTCATTTCTCTGACCTAAATACCCAGGGGGCAAAATTACCATAATACCTAAAAATAACTGAACATGAGAAAAATACATATTTAGAAATCATTGGTCTCTACCACTGAGATGGCCCTTCAAAGTTTCTTTGTAAACTTGGAAAGCTGATAAACACATTTAGCAAAATATATGCTGCAAAAATAAATGTGATATAGAGATGTTCCATACCATCATAATATTTGCAAAGCTATGATCATGAAAAAAGTGGATATTAACAGGTTAGTTGTTTCCAAATTGCTGATCCCTCCTGAGGTGGAATGTGAGTCTTTGGTGTACCATCTCCCAAAGAGTGACACTGTTAGAATAGGCTCATATTCAGATCCATTCTTGTTTACCAAACGCCCATCTTTTAGCACCTAAAGAAAGTGGGGAAAACATAGTCAGCTTCATTAAAATATGCATTACAAGCAGGATAATATTTGTGAAATAGTCTTAGATATCATGGTTGATCAAGCAGTTCTAGCTTGATGGGGTGGGGGGAGCAGGGAACAGGCAGGACACGAAGGGGACAGCTATTTTATATGTAATGAAGACTAGAGTCATTCTAGAGGGCTTCGTATTTGAGTTTCAATGATCGAATTGAGACAGTATAGGGACTTGGGCCTGGGAATAGAAAAATATTTGGTGGCCAGGAAGCCAAGTTAAGACCGGTGGCCAAGAAGGAACACTTGATAAGCTGACCAGAACAATGTCACCACTCTTCTACTCCCTGTTCAAACCTGTAAAGGTGGCTGACTTAATCTCCCTTCTAACTGCCTGCTTCCTTGCAGATGTCGAAACTATTGGCCCACGTGCTCAGTTGATCAAGGTTTGACCGCTGTACGACTTTCGACCTTCCTTAGGTGGCTGTAATGAGTTACATCACCATCTTGCCCCCCAGCAGAGGTGGGGACACAGTTATCAGGCAACACAGCTGGAAAAGGAAGTCACTTATCCTGAAATGGAAAATCCCACCAGCCCACCTTTTTCAAAAAGCCAGCCTTTTCATATAAGCTCACTTTGTCCCCAGTTTATAAAAGCAGCCAAGCAGAGCCAGCTCCCAAGTAAGTTCAGAGAACCTTTCTTTCCTCCGTTTTGCCTCCCCTGTGCTCAAGCATAAGCTTAATAAAATTTGTCTGGAAATTTTTGTGGTGTCTCCTCTCAATTTCTATCTTGAGAAACCCAAGAACTTCCACACCAGTAACAAAATGTAACCCTTAGCAAAAAGTCAAAAATCATCAGCAGCAAACATTTACTGAGTCCAATTATGTGCAAGATAATCAGGATAATCACTCCTCTTGCACACAGAGGAGTGAAATCACACCCTGCCCTCAAGAAGCTTAAAAGTTAAAAGTGAAACTAAGACGTCAGTATATTAGGTATTAGAGAGGGAAACAGATAAGTACTCAGGAAGTCTGAGAACAAAAAGCTGGACTGATCTGCTTCCCACAGTAGGACACAACCTGTCACAGGAAACAGCAGTTGACAGAATTCTCCCTGGGGCTGATAACAGAAGACTTGTGGGAAGCAGAAATCATCCAAGTCTCATTCTGAGACAGAAGTGTGGGTGACAGACAGGTCTAGGCAACGTGCTTTCTCACCCCAGTTGGTTGAACCAGTGATGTGCTGAAACTAGGGGTGCGTAAGCTCACCAGAACAGATAGTTAAAATTCCAGGAAATTTAACAACTGGTTGTTAAACATAGGCATTCTTTTTTTTTCCTTTTTTTAATATATATTATTTTAATTGATTTTTTTGTTTGAGAAACATTGACCAGTTGCTTGCAGCATGCACCTCGACCAGGGATTGAACCTACAACCCGGGCATGTGCCCTGACTGGGAATCGAACCAGCGACCTTTCAGGGCATGGGACTATGTTTAGCCAACTGAGCCACACCAGGCAGGGCTGGATAGCCTTCTTGAGATAAAAGTTATTGTTTTCCAGGTAAATGAATCTATTTTTTAAAATAATAAATTAGTCTTCTCTGTTACCATCTTGTGAGTTTGGTTAGTGTCTGTTCCTTAGAATATGTCGAACTTCAGGGACAATAATGCCCTGAGAATGTACACTTGCAAAATGAAGACCAATACTCTGGCCGCGGAGCTCCCTCCAAGGCCTTGTTATACCAAAACCCTGCCTACGAGCCAGCAAGTGCATCTTTTATATCTTCTTGGTATAACACTATCTGTATTTTATTTTCCCTTTCAACAAATAAACTGGAGTAGATGAGACATGATCCAAGTGATACATATACCATAAAGTGCCCAACTGAAAGGAGAGATGCAACCCCTCCCTCCCTTCCTTCCATGCAAGACTGAGGGGCCAGTGCCCCGACACAGGAGACAGCGTGACAAGCTCTAAGAATTACTGAGTTGAGACCTACAGATACTATGTCATTAACCACTTAACCATTTACTCTTCTGTATCATTCTCTGTTATTCCCAGCTACCTGAAACCATTTGGGGGAAAATTTTTTTTAAACAAACAAAGGAGGTAGCTATGTCCTAATGTCTTCATGCTCTCCAACTCCTCACCAACTACCACCATCCAATTTATTCCAATACTGATGTGGTTCAGAGTGAGAGTGAAATGGCATTTCTGGTTCTGGACTTTTATTTTTAATTGATTTTTAGAGAGAAAAAGGGAGAGAGAGAGGGAGAGGGAGAGGGAGACGGAGAGGGAGAGAGAAATAGCATATCAATTGGTTACCTCCTGCATGTGCCCCCACTGGGGATCGAACTCAAAACCTGGGTATGTGCCCTGACTGGGAATCAAACCTGTCACCTTTTGGTATACAGGATGATGCTCCATCCAACTGAGCCAAACTGGCCAGGGCTCTGGCTCTGGACTTTTAACCTGGTCTGGAAAACTCAAGAAGCTTTTTTGTCTTTCTCCCATAAATGAGATGCATTTGTAACATAAGTGCTCAGTCTCACTCTAGGATAATTTCTCAAGGAGATACATTTCTAAGAGTACATGACATGGGTGGGGAATGTCAAAGTACTACTCAGAAGATTAGATTGTGTGCTCAGTTTAAGTGGCAGGGACTCTGAGATACAGGCCACCAATACTACCTGGCCCCTGATCTGTATGAACCCTGCTCTCCTTTCTCTCACCTACTTGAAGTGACCCCACATATTTTCAACTTATCTATGCTTATTTGTGCCAGACTAGCCACCTTTGAACTACTAGATTATAGTTCCAGAGCCCTCACGTCAGATCTGATTATGATTTTCTGTACTTGGCATTTAAACTTTTATTCCAGCCTCAATTTGCTCATGAGATTCTACCTAACCGGGTTCTACAGCAGCTAAGGATTCCTGTTCTCTGGGTTTCTCAGCCTTAAGGCTGCACTACATGTTAAACTGTTGGTTTCACAGGATTAAATGTTTTTATAAATATGATATATCCCATTCTGATAATATAGGCCAGCATAGAAACATGACCATCAGCAATCTGCAATTTTAAAGACTTTCTTGCTGAATGCCTTAGGTGAATTAATGTAGATCCTATTTTTCTTTTATAGAAAATGGAATGATTTTACCCTAGTCACTGAAACCCTGCCCTGTTTGCCACAATTCAGAGAAAACATTAGGGTTCAAACTGGTTGAGTGAGTGTGTGTGTGTGTGTGTGTGTATACCATGTACTGTGTACTGGCAGATACAAACTTACAGTATTTTAATTATAATTTGAGACCAGCTTAATTTGTAAATTGGTTATAATAAATATCTGATTTTCCATTTGTTTCCAAATGTGACAAAAGAACATTAACAATCTATAAACAAATATTTTTCAATGAATGGTGCCTTGAGCTCATAGGTTCTAGGTATCTTATCGTGTTATTCCAACAAAGTGTCATTACTTTAGAATCGCTTGCTGTAAGTGTAGAAATAGTCAAAATATTCCCTCCTTCTTATCCATGCCCTTTTGCAATGTGATTTTACAGCTCTTTCCACTAAGAGATCTGCATCATTTATTTCTCTAACCCTTGGAACTACATTGGTTATGTGACTTTCTTTGGTTGAAGAGGCATTTGAAAACAAGGTGCAAGCAGAGAACTGAGAAAAACTTATCCATTGTGGCTTTTCTTCTTGATGCTCTTGGACTCCTGCAAGCCCAAGCTTGCTGGAGGCGGAGAGGCCACAGGGAAAGAGTGGCCCCAGTCATCCCAGCTGCCTAAACAAGGCCATCACCAGCCAGCCCAATACACCAGCTAGTAGCAGATGCAAGAATGAGCCCAGCCCAGATCAGCTAAGCCTGTTCCAAACCAGAACAGCCTGGCTACACTCAGTGCACACTGTCAACCACAAGGTAAGAGCTAACGAATGGTTACTTTCTAAGGCCATTAAGGTCTGAGAAACTTTGCTACACACTAAAAGTCAGGTGATACAGTGGCTTCAGAGAACAGATAAAATAAAATCCTCCTACCTCAAATGTTCCAGGTGACAGTTTAATTGTAGTAAGTAGCACTTCAGGAAAAACATACTCTGTCCCAAATGTGCCACTTAGGGAGAACATGTCAAATTTCGTCAAAGCCTTTTCTACTGGTTGTCCACAAGTTGTCAGATCAGTTGTTTTGCATTTCAGCATTGTGCAGACCTATGTAGAACAAACGCAGATAAAATGAAGTGCCTTACATCTGAGCCACCTGCACTAGAATGGTTGACTCAGTTTATCACTATAGCAGAGCAAATATTTTCTCCATTTGTTAAAGGGATTGGATCATGTTTCTTATCATTACCAGCTTTACTGGAAATGGCCAACGATTTGAGAACCAACCCTGCATCCTGAGTAACAAATGGGTTGAGAGAAAGAAGTCAGTTTAGAATTAGACTTAAACCATTAGTTTGGCCCGAAAGAGTAGAGGTCTTTTGGCAACAGTAGTCCTAAAACTAAAATGATTAAATTTCAACCATCCCTTTTTTTCCAGATCCTTTCTTTAAGAGAGGGCAGTGGGGCACAAAGCACACAATAAGATACACGTGCATAGCCAATACTATATGAAAGTTTGAGTTTTAAATATTTGTCATGGGAAGGGAGTAAAATGAACAGGACATCTGATTACAAGAGAAACTAAGATAAAAGTAGTATCCCTACTCGTTGTTGGTATTAAAAGTTAAAACAAGACTGTTTGTATTCAGATACATTAGCAAAACTACGTAAGAAAGCCTTATTGAGGCTCACTATGATATGTAGACTAGCTCATTAGTCAAATAGAAAATCATCACAGTCAGGTTAATAACTTTTTTAAAAAAGCAAGCCATCAGATTATACTTAGCTCCTATTGCAAATATCATATGATTACTCCCAATGTGTGTGTGTGTGGGGGGGGGGGTAATATTGGCAATGTGTGGAGTCATGCAGAGAAAAAGCACTTGGCTCCCTGGGGCAAATATGAAAAGTTAGCCCTGTAATTTCCTGATGCCTAAGCATGCCCTCCCACTTAAGCTGAGATTACCTGCCAGTACTCTCTTCTCCTTTGGCCGTGAAGTCCTGTGAAAGCTCCTAGGACATATACTTCATTCTCTCCTTTTTGTTGCATTCTGTAGCTTAAATGGCAGCAGAAATCTTTTTGACAGACTGTGAGGTTTCCTGCATTTTCAAAAAGTTCTGTGAAGTGGAACACATCTCGGGAAATAAGCCCCCTGAAAGTGTTCTTCTGAACTGGGAAGGGTTTGATGGCCGTGGCATAGGCACTCCAGTTCACCGCTGTGGAGTAGGCAGGAGAGATTCGAGGACGGGAATCCACTTCCGAAAGAAGGATTCTCCCCAAGTCTGTTTCCATATCATAATGGTATACTTTGGGGGTGTGTGGTGCATAAATACCACTGCCTGTGAATGGGAAAGGAGTCTTTTTAATACAGACTCAACACCCCCAGTTTCCCCATCAGAATTGAGCGCCCAGTCACGTCATGGCATTGGTCCCAATGAGACAGCTCACAGGCTTCTAGTTACATGGAACAACCGAGCATTTCTCCTGTTCTCTATCAAAGGGATATAATAGACGTTCAATGTCTCATGTCAAATAAACTTTGACTGTAACAGGAATATTTATGAGCATTATGGAAAATTAAATCAAATATAAGAATCTCTGTACTTGGGAGTTCATGAAAGGTGAAAAGTATCTCTTGTTCCCCACTATGGCAGTGTTTCCATATTGCTCCCAAATTTTTCAACACTCTTTTCTTCAATGGGTAGATCTAGTTCCTTTCCCTTTGAGTGCAGGCTGGACTTTGCCACTCACTCCTAATGAATAGGCCACGGTAGAAGTGACAGTGTGTGACTGTTAAAAACAGCAGTGCATCTCTCCCCACCCCACCCCCTCGCCCCCTTGATCTAGAGGAAATCAGCTGCCATTTCATGAGGATACATCACAGAGCCTATGGAGAGACCCAAGTGGCAAGAAATGAAGGTCTCCAGCCAATAGCCCCTGAGGAGCTAAGGGATCCTGCCAATATAGCATGTGAGATAGCTCTCCTGGAAGCAGGCCTGCCAGCCCCAGTCAAGACTTCAGATGACTGCTAGTCCAGCTAACAGCTTGATGTAACCTGAAGAGATAGTCTGAGCCAGGATCACCCAGCTAAGCTAGTCCCAAATAGTGACCAATAGAAAAAGTGAGATGATGAATGTTTGTTGTTTTACTTTGAAGGTAATTTGTTACAAACAACACATCAATAATACATTCCTCTGTTCTTTGCTAATGTTTGAGCAAATCTGCTTAGTTCCATGCTTTGCCACTTACCAGCTGGTAGCCTTTGGCAAGTTACTTGTGTTCTTTCTGTCTCAGTTTTCTAATCTCTGTGTCTCCATTTTCTAATCTCTATGTCTCCGTTTTCTAATCTCTGTGTCTCAGTTTCCTAATCTGTAAAAGTGGGATGGTAATATTCATCTCCCAGAGTTGTGAGGATCAATAAATAATACACATAAAGGTCTTAACACACCACAGCTGCTGAAATCAGTCACTAGGCTTTTTGTGTGTGTGAAAAGTTGACAAATATAGTGGTTTGTCCCAACAGAGAAGCAAAAAATTATGACAGTTCACATCTGAGGCATTAGCTTCTCTGCTTTTAGAAGTATTATTTGCAAACCTCATCTGGCCATAAATTACCTGTCATATTTAGGCGGACATGGTGTATATTGGCCACAAGAAGATTAACTCTCATTCCCATTGCCCAAGCTGAGTGGAATTCAATAGCTGTCAATAGGGGCAAAACGTTCATCCAAGCAGTGGGAAACAGTATGGTGTCCACGTGGAAGTCTTTCACCAGGGTCACAGCAGGGTCGTGGAAGAGTATATCGAAGCATGTGAAAATGCCAAACCTTCCAAAGGGGGTGTTGAAAGTCACCAGCTCCGGCTCTTCAGGGACATCAAATTGAGGCTCAGAGTAGAGGTGATACTATAACAAACGCATAGGATGAAAACAGGAGAGGCTTCTTTACTGAAGAGATGACAGGTAAAAAAACCTCCCAAGTTAGTAATAGATTTGGCTATGGTCAACAGCAGAGACTCTATGGGAAAGTGAGTGAATCTGGTGACTGGAAGTAAAAGTCCAAGGAAAAAGAAAACTTAAATACAATCTCTCTCTCTCGCTTTCTCCATCCCGCCCAAATTAGAAGACAAATAACTTGCCATAAATTCCAGATGATCACTGTCTTGAAAGCTGAATGTTTTCTTGTGATTTTATTTAGTGCTCACCTTAACAAAAAAATCTCTAAGAACAGCATATATAGGGAAAAACTCAAAATCCTCAACACAGCATTCATCACTCTCATAGCAGGCGCCATTTTACATACCCACCCTCTCTTACCTTATGGTAACGTGCCACCAGCTGTCCCTTTGTATCATACACCACGTTGGTATTGTATTGATAATAGCCATTAGGAGGACATGTGGAGTCGTGGGAATTGCATGGCTTTTTGTCCCCAATATTTGCCAAGACATAGATAGAGTTGTTCTTGGCCAGGCAGCTGAGTCTTGCTTGTACTGGTGTGTGACCAAATCTAAATAAAATTTTAATTAAAACATTTCAATAAGTCGGGTAGAGAAAGACAAATACTGTATGATATCATTTATTTGTAGACTCCAAAAAGGCTGACTCATAGAAACAGAGTAGAATAGTGGTTACCAGGGCCTGAAAGGTGGGGGAATTGAGAATATGGGCACAAATTTGGTACAAACTTGCTACTAGTAGATAAATGAGTCCTGGAGATCTAATGCACAGAATAGTGGCTATAGCCAACAATACTGTGTTATAAACTTCAAAGTTGCTTAGAGACTAGATCTTAATTGTTCTTGCCACAAAAAGAAATGATAGTTATATGACATGATAGAGGGATTAACTAGAGCTATGGTGGTAATCACATTGCAATATATAAATGTATCAAATTAACACACTATACACCTTAAACTTACACAGTGTTATATGTCAATTATATCTCAACAAAAAAAGAAATTTCAACTTTAAAAAGTATTTTAGTCACTTCATATATAAACAATAACAAGCGGACATACAGATGGCCAGTAGACATATGAAAAAATGTCCAAATCACTAATCATCAGAGAGATGCAAATTAAAACCATGAGATATCACCTCACACCTGTGAGAATGGCTATAAATCAACAATAAATCAACAAACAACAAATGCTGGCAAGGGTGTGGAGAAAAGGGGAACCTAATGCACTGTTGATGGGAATGCAGACTGGGGTAGCCACTGTGGGAAACAGTATGGAGGTTCCTCAGAAAATTAAAAATGGACCTTATAACCCAGCAATCCCACTTCTGGGACTATCCGAAGAAACCCAAAACACTAATTCAAAAGACTATATGCGGCCCTATGTTCATAGCAGCATTATTTACAATACCCAAGATCTGGAAACAGCCCAAGTGCCCATCAGTAAATGAGTGGATAAAAAAGCTGTGGGACATTTACACCATGGAATACTATGCAGCTGTAAAAAAGAAGAAACTCTTATCTTTTGGGACAGCAGGAATAGACCTGGAGATTATTATGCTAAGTGAAATAAGCTAGTCAGAGAAAGACAAATGCAATATGATGTTACTTATATGTGGAATCTAATGAGCAAAATAAACTGACAAACAAAATATAAAACAAATTGACGAACAAAATAGAACCAGAGGCATGGATACATGGAACAGACTTACAGAGGTCAGAGGGGAGGGGGAGGGAGGGACTGGATGAAAGAAGGTGAAGAGATTAGCCCAAGGACATACATGCAGAGCCCATGGACACAGACAATAGTGTGGTGATGGCCAGAGGAGGGGCAGTGGGTACTGGGTGGAGGTGAGTAAGGATGGCAGTGATGTGGGACATCTATAATAGTGTCAACAATAAATTTTTTGAAAAAGAACAGAGGAAAAAAAAAAAGAAATAGAGGCATGTGGAACAGACTGAGGGCTGTCAGAGGGGTGGGGGACTGGATAAAAGAAGGTGAAGAGATTAGCCAAAGGACATATATGTATAACACATGGACACAGACAGCAGTGTGATGAAGGCCAGAGGGAAGGGGGTGGGGGCTGGGTAGAAGTCAGCAAAAGGGGGAAAATGGGGACATCTGTAGTACTGTCAACAATAAAAACAAAGAGAAAATAAAATTAATTAATTAGTTAAAAAAGAACAATAAACAACAACAAAGTCATAGATACAGAGAAGAAAGTGATGGTTGCCAGATGGGAGGGGGGCTGGTGGTTGGGTGAGAAAGGTGAAGGGACTAAGAAGTACAAATTGGCAGTTACAAAACAGTCACAGGGATGCAAATAGAGCATAAGGAATATAGTCAATAATATTGTAATAACTATGTATGGTGTTAGGTGGGTACTAAACTTATGAGGAGGATCACTTCCAAAGTGATATAAATCTAACCCCTACACTGTACACTGAAACTAATATAATACTGAATGTCAATTGTAATTGAAAAATAAAGAAAAAATTAAAAATAACAATAAGAACCTAAGTGTAACTAAAGCCAATATAAAAACTATTTATGAAAACGATCCTATTTTAAAAGCCACAACTTATTCTTAAACTTGATGAATTCCCCCCCACATCGTATCTATTGCTCTGGCAACTCATAATTCACTCTCCTGCATCGCTGGCCATCTCCTCTCTAGGATCATCCCATTGGCACTCAAATATGCTTTAGTACCTCCCTGTAGTTAATCTCTGTAGAGCAAAGAAAAACCATTTTCTGATAGCCCTTATATAAATGTCAGAATAGCCAGGGGTGCCTAAAACAGTGTGGCAGCCATAATCCTCCAGCAAAAGGATGGCAGAGGAATGTTACATAAACTTCATTTGAGGTAAAAGAATGAGAGTGTGAGAGGGTGACAGAGTGAGAGGGTTTGAGAGCTGAGTAAGAATAAGTGTGACAGAGGGAGAGACCTTTCACTGAAAATTCTGAAGTGTGCAATGTGTCCCTCAATCATCTCCAAGTCTTATTAGGAAGCAGGATTTATATATTAAACATGCGCCCATATCTATTGAATATTTTATATTAGAATATTTCTAGATTACTTTTTCCCAGGGAAATTACCTTTATGAGCCTAGGAACATGCAAAGTTTCAAAGCATAAGGCCTTATGATTCACTAGAAAGGACATAGTGAGGTCTTCCTGCCTGAGAAGCAGATTCCAGTAAAATTGCAACATGATACCTTTAAATAGAGACATTGAAATATTTTCCAAACACAACCTACCCTCCACTTCAGAAATTAATTTACTACTTTTAGCCTGGACGGTGTGGCTCAGTGGTTGAGCATTGACCTAGGACCCAGGAGATCGCAGTTTGATTCCTGGTCAGGGCACATGCCCAGGTTGTGGGCTCGATCCCCAGTTGGGGGTGTGCAGGAGGCAGCCGATCAATGATTCTCTCATCATTGATGTTTCTCTCTCTCTCTCCCTCTCCTTTTCTCTCTCTGAAATCAACAAAAATATATATTTTTAAAAAATTTACTACTTGTATCTATGAGATCTTCTTCCCCTTAGTTACTAGTCCTAGGCATAAATATCCTCCTTACATGTTTTCTCCAAATTGAATGAAGATATTAAATCATAAGTGATTGTTGAATGGTATCTAAGTGCAATTTTTAAATCTAACAAATGCCAAGATAAGTATAACAATAACATACACCACATACATGATAATTCAGGATTTATCATTTTGCTGAGGTGAATGTGTACATTTTAGAGAATTATAGCACTTTTGCACAAACAACTAGGATAGAAACCATACCTGTGGGGGTCTTGACATGGAATCCAGTCCACCTGAGGGTCTGGGATATCCTCCAGATAAGGGAAAATGGTTTCCCTGGTAAATTTCCACCCATAAAGTGCATCTTCTGGAGTCACAATGATATGAGCACCCTGTTCAATACAAGTCAAATCAAAATTATTTCTCCACATGTAACATAGATCTTCCACCAGATCTCATGTCCCTACCAAAGATTATGATTAGTAGAAATAAAAGAATACCTGCTCAGCTGCCTGTTTAATCGCTTTCTCCAGAACATCTATATTCTTGTTCATAAGGAGCAAGGCATCGTCCTGAGAAACAGGTGTTTCTGTTTCCTTTGGCAATATGACAGCGTGTTCGTACACTGCAGCCACAAATGTATCCAGGGCATTGGCATGCAGGACAACCACGGCCAAAACTGCCACAGAGGTTTGAAAGGAGGAAGTGATCATGGCCGAGGTCTAGAGATTTCTGGAAGTGAAAGTAATACTTATGTAGCATTTAAAAAGGGAGGTACATTTATGTGACAAAGGACTGCCAGCTACGGAGTTCTTATTTTATAATCTTATAATATTATACCCAACCACTTTTGAGGGGGAAAATATTGCCATTAAATGAATACAATCAAAAAGTATTACAAAGATTGTACAACCATGTACTACTGATAAAATTTCATGTCAAATTTCAAAAAACAAAATTCAAATGTGGTACAATTACACCCTTTAACAGAAAGAAGATAGTAACTAAAGTAACTCTCATGTGAAAAATCATAATACAACATACCTGCTCTCTCTCCTTCACAAGGTTAGCCTGAGAGTCAAAAACACATGAGTGTTCTCTGTGAGATTAGGATGGGATGACAATCATTAACACACATGAGTGACAGTTTAGTAAAGTAATGATCCTGACTGCTTAGTGTGATTTATTTGTTAGGCCCACAGAACAACTCTTTTCTCAGTTAAACAAATCTAGTCAATTTGGGGTACTGGGGATGAAAGGGGGGACAGAGTACCTGGACACCAAGTCCTGGATCACGCCAAGCAGGACATGACAGATGCACACCAACCACGCAGCAGAGGCGCAACAAAGACAGCAAGGAGCTCAGGAGAGAGAGGAGCAGCTTCGAGCTCTGCCACAGCCTGAAGGACGTCCCATCCGGCCTCTCTCCCAGGAATGAAATGACATGAAGGAGCTGAGGACTGGAGTTGGAAATAGCATGTACAGTCATTGGTGGTGGCATTTCCTCAGGCAGCAAGTATGACCATCAAAACAGGAAGCAGGAAAAACCAGGTTCCTCTTTTCAAACTCTTCTCTTGGTAATTGTACACCAAAAAAAAAGAAGAAAGAAAAAAAGAAAGAAAAGAAAGAAAGAAAGGATGTACTGGTAAGAAACCATGTTTCTTTCCCTGCCCCACTGGGGGTTTCATGTATCTTCAGAAGATGTTTGAAGGAAATACCTGCTTGAGCAGAAACAGCCTGCACTTTATTTTTTGGCACCAGGCCCCAACCAAGTGAGGTGCTCCTCCAGCTCCGGA